CAAAGATTCCAGCAGCTACAACCAATCTCAATACAAATATAAGTCATCACAGCACATTCAAACATTATAAAATTCATTCTAAGACCTAGAAATCACAAGTACAATGAAAGAAATAAAGATTGGAAGAGCTGAAACTCCACTTTGAAGCCCCAAGTTCAAGTCATAAACACTGTGCTAGAGAATTGAAGGATTTAGCTAAGCCCCTGCATCAGTAAAGCTCCACCGTATGCTTTAAAGGTGCAGAGAAGACGAATGGCGAACGAAGAGAATGCCGTCAATGGTCTCGCCCCTGGTTCCCCCTTCTGTTCGCGTCTCACTGGTTCGGTTGACACCGAGAAGGAGAAGAAGAAGATGATGGGTGGTTCCCCCTTATGCCGTCAAGCACCTCTGCTCGTCTCTCTTGTGCCATCACTCTGTTCGTGCTCTTGGTCCTTCTCTTTTTGTTTCTGCCGCCGTCAGCTCCCTGTTCGCGTCCCATTGAAGGTGATGAATAGTTTCAATTGATTATTAGGCACCTTTTGCTCCCCCTTTTTAATTATTTTCTTTTTTTCTTTTCTTTTCTCTTTTTTTATTATTTTTTTTATTTTTAAAATCTTCAAAAACCTGCAACCAAAATTCAAAAATAAGGTAGCATTAATTGTCCTTCCTTAAAAATCAATTAATCATATTTAAACCAAAATATGACAATTTTGCCCCTATAAAATAATAATTTAAAATAAAACATATTAAATCAATTAATAATCAATTAAGGTCAAAAGGGACCAATTAAATTGACAAAACCCATATAAAAGATATCAAAATATATAAAAATAATTGAGTTTATCATAGGGAAAATAACAAGCTTATTTTTACTACTTACAGAGTTAGAGACCTTGTAAGTCTATGCAGAGAGTGATTTAACAAAGAACAATTCTTAGAGGGAAATTTTCATTAACATGCGAAATATGTTGCTTTGTTTTAGAGATTTGTCATTTAATGACTTGTCGGGACCTGTACCTGCAATTTTAGCTAAACTACCGAAATTTAGAGTCCTGTAAATTTTGAATTATAAGAGTTGTTTATGATTCATTTAGAGAGTGGTATCTTATTTAGTAACTTTCAAGGCTAAGTTTTTGCAATATGCGAACCCTTCGGGCTAATTAACATAGACCCTACATTCATACTTGAAAATCCTAGTTAAAACCATTCGTATTTCATTATGCATTTTCTTTTGTTGCGTAACAAGGATAATAGAGGTAGTTAGATGTCAATAAATATTAAATTCCAAGTGTTAAACTTTTCTTTGGACAAAGGAAAAAAGTTAAACTTTTCTGCATACGTAGGTACTACAAGAACAAAAATTCAAGTCGTTCACCGTAAGGAACCAGCGATCTAGATTATATAGACTCTAGAGAAAATAATCGTCACACTTACGCCATTGAAGCTGGCCAGTAAATATTCAAGGTTTGACGTAGTCTTACGGGAAAATTGCAGAAAATTACGAATATCACCTCTTATTTGACTAATTTGAAGAGATTAAGAAAGTTACAAAATTACTTTAAAATGTTTATATTTATCTTTTTTGCTTAATTAAGTTGTCTCAGTTATAAATTGATATATAATATAATAATGCATAAAAATATTTTAGAGAGACCATATAATAAATACTGCATATAATTAAATAATTTAATTTTTTTTAATATCTTCAAATTAGTTATTATAATAACCATCATAGGTACTGGAGGCAGTATGTCAAAAGAGGAAAGCTACAGCAGTCAATTATGAAGGACCACAAAGAAGTCGTCTCTAATGGCACTGTGTTTGTGTTGACTGAGCAATGCGACGTTCCAGTCACGTTAGCCATAAAGCTTTCCTTTCTTTTTTACTTGGACCATGTCAACACATATCCATGCATGGCCACCATAACAACCAAGGCAAGTCATATGCGATTATTATTTTCCGCTACCTGGTATGCTTCTTTAATTTCTTTGGTTTTATGTTACAAACTATCAAACTGAAAAATTATAGTTTTTTTGGCCAAAAAAAAGAAAAATTATAGTTTTGATAGTAATAAATAACTATCTAATTACTTTGACCCAGCAAATTATGATTTTTTATGGTTTCAAATATGTGGCAACCAACAAAACACAAACACAACCACATGATTCACACAAAGTAGATTGAAAATGATAAACTTCCCATACAGTCAAGTCATCGATCTGTTTGTTAGATAGAATGATTAAAAGGGAAAATCTTACCCAAAAAGAAAAAAAGATATTGCTTCATTTTTATATAAGATTTATCATTATTTTTGTTATTATTATTTAGACTTGCATTGTATCCTGGATACGGATGAACCCCAATCCAAGCACTTTGACTCTTTTTTTCCTTCTTTTTTCTCCAACACTTTGACATTAATATTTAGAAGCTGAAAATCAATATGCTACCTTTGGTATTTAATATAAGACCTGGTTGATTAATTCAAGGAGATTAAGAAAGTTATAAAATTACTTAATATAGCACATCTTACATGATCTCTCTAAATTACTTAATACAGCATATCATACACTATCTTTCTAAATTACTTATGTGAATCATAAAATTATTGTATATCAATTTATAAGTGAGGTAAATTATTTTAGAGAAAAGTGATAAATATAAATAGTTTAAAGTAATTTACTGTCTTAATTTTTTAAATTAATCAACTAGGTCATATATTAAGAATTGGATGCATAGTAATAAGCATATATGCATCTCAATTTTTTATCCACCAATATAATTTAGATAAGGATTTTCCTCCACGACAGATTGTGAGAAATAAATGTAAATAATAATGTCTGGGCATGTGTCACAAATGAGAATAACTAGTAAGACTGGAAGAGAGGTTTCGAATGTGCATGTAGCGAGATTAAATGCACTGGTCAACACCCCTCAGTACACGTTATATAGAAATAAATGCAGGCCACCTCCTCTATATACGTCACATTGTATCATTTCTTCATTAGATTGCGTGTGTAATAGCTATATGCATTAAGTCAAAGCAATTTTACCGCAAGATAACTCATTGCTTGAAGGACTTGGTCATAACCAAATATGCAGGCTGCGCTTTAGTCTTTAACAAACTAAAAAAGAAGTTGGATGGTAAAATATTGGACTTAAAAAAAAATCCCTAATAACTACAGAGGGAGGAAGCGAAAGATTATGAAGATATAATTCCAAGAAATATAAATGACGATTTATTTATATCGTCTTTCCAGGAAAAAAAACATAATTTAATTTTTGAACAATTTAACTGCTGTTGATGTAATTATGTGCCCTTAGCTATTAATTTTTAAGACTGTTTTTCAAACCATCACAAAAGTTATCCTCCGGCAAGTCAATGCAAATACCGTAGGCTAAACGCAACTTCTTCCCACTAACTATATACACCCTCACAACCCACACCCCACTTTACTATGTTTCTCAAACCTACTTCTCATGCATCTTTGCGTGAATTTTAGACCTCAAGCTTCAGGCAAGTTCGTGTCTACTTTGCTATTGCTCTTTTATTCATGCATTATTATGTTATATATAAAGTTATCATGCTGTCTTCATAGAATTCAAACACAGATCATGGAGAAGACACCACAGTGGCTTCTATGGTTTGCCTTGATCCAAACTTTCCTTAATCTTAGCGATGCAATGCTCAGTGGAAGGAGACCCGCCCCCACCAGCAACTCTCGTTCTGGTAAGGGCCTTAAGTAGGTTATGTAAGATAATGTTCCATGTAAATATATATTCATATATATATATATATATATAACGTATATATTCATATATATATATATATGACGTACCGGCCAAACCCTTGTTTATGACTATTGGTTTTATTATCAAACCTATGAATGTTTTCTTAGTTAACAAGGTTTCCGTCAAGTTTTTGCACGTACACACAGACTTCATAAGCATTGACTGTGGAGCAAGCGACGAATACACTGACCCTCAAACTGGGATCTCATATTAGACAGACAAAGGTTTTATAGACACGGGGTATAATTCTATGATGGCGCCTGATCAAAGAAATGTAATAGATTTTCCTTATTTTGGGAGACAGTTCCAGACGCTAAGAATCTTCCCTGAAGGAAGAAGAAATTGCTATACCCTGAACCCAAAACTAGGCAAGAACCAGAATTACCTCATCCGAGCTTTCTTCACATATGGAAACTATGACGGAAAAAATCAAACTCCCACTTTTGACTTGTACCTCGGCACCAATTACTGGACAAATATTAATGCAAACCAAAATTATGTTTTTGTGGAGACCATCTATACTCCTACAACCGACACCATACACTTTTGCCTTGTAAAGTCAGGCAAAGGAATACCTTTCATTTCTACATTGGAACTACGACCTCTCAGCAATTCTATTTATACAGCTCCCTCCCCTTCTCAATCCCTTTTGTCTCTCTATAGAAGAGTTGATGTTGACTACACCGGTGCAGCCAAGTACACCAGGTGACTCTACTTTTTATATTCTGTAGCATGTTGTGTTTTCACATTTCCATTATCTGGCTCTTGTGAATTTTTACGTTCTCTATAGCTCCTTGTGCTATTCATGATGCTCTCCTTTTACATGGAAACAATTCTCATATTCAGTTATTTAATAATGCAAGCATAGGTACGCGGATGACATCTATGATCGTACGTGGCGCGAAGCCTACGCTCTCCAATTGCAAGATTGGGTAGTGTTCAATAAATCTGTGGATGTTGATCGCAAAAGTACAGATGATCCTTACAAATTACCAACACGAGTGCTACTATCTGCAGCCAAATCATTGAATCGTTCCTCTTCTTTAAACTCGGACTGTGTTTCTGCTTGGGGGAGTCCATTTGAATACTCTTTCACATATTACGTCTATTTTCATTTTGCTGAAATTGAGAAGCTTCCCCTTGGGCAGAAAAGAGTGATCGATGAAAAATTCCTCCCAAAGCCCATAACTCTTGAATACTTGAAGCCTCTGACGGTTTCTACAGTTACAAATCAAAGTTGTATTCATTTCAGCATAAGTGCAACATCAGAATCTGCTGCGCCTCCAATCCTCAATGCACTTGAGATTTACCAATTAACATCACCACTAACTTTCCCAACAGACCATAGAGATGGTATACGTTGCTTTATTCCTTAATCACTATGAGCTGTTTCCTGCTACGTCTTCTATCATTTCAGTGTGTGCACATTTTTGCTTTGACTTTTTCACAACATATTTATTATTTGTAGTGGATGCTATCTTGGACATCAAAATCACATACAAAATCTCCAAATTGGATTGGCAAAGTGACCCGTGTATTCCCAATTATTCATGGGAGGGACTTAGTTGCATTTCTGGCACCAATCACTCCTACGCAAGGATCACCTCATTGTGAGCATTCCACTTCTTGATCTATGATCATTGTCACAAATATGTTGGTTATAAACATTCCTAAATGTAGCATGAACTGTGTGTGATCATTTCCACACTTCTCAACCCAGAAGTTTTGATAAGGGCAAGCTTGAGTTGGTTGGGGTCAATTTAACTGATGTTATTCTTTCTCTTTTGGTAAATGGTGTTAACTTCTGTTGCAAAATGTTAAAAGATATTTCCGAAGTCCTAGCTCTACTATTTATTTTGTTTTAAATTAATTTCAAATTAAGTTAGTCAACGCACTAAGTTAGTCAAATATTGACCGAGTAAGCGTTGTATACGTTTCCATTTTTAAGTTTACCCAAGAGTACATCCATCTGTTAGCTGTCAAACATAATAACAACATCTAATGTTACATGTTAGTTAAAACCTAACTCTTTTCTTTTTCATAACTTTGGTTACATAGCATTTGTCTCCTGTGTTTTGTGACATGTTTACCTTTATGTAGATAGGATCTTATTCATGGGGGGATGACGACATTATTCATATCTCAACTCTTTCTCCCATATTTCCAAAAGTATTAACTATTAAAGAAGCCATATATACTTGAGAAAATTTTATAATCACCTATAGTTTGTTTTGACCACATATTCTGATTATTCCTAGCAGAAACTTGAGCATGAGCAAGTTAACAGGACACATAAGTATTTCATTCTCAGAACTTACGGAGTTAGAGTCCCTCTAAGTATATAGTGCTTAATTATGACCACATCTTCAGTCTAAGAATTTCACCATGTAAAATGATGTTTTTGCTGTTTCAGGGATTTGTCAGATAATAACTTATCAGGAACAATACCAGAATTTCTAGCTAAATTGCCGAAGTTGAAAGTCCTGTAAGTTGTTGGTGTAGGATTTTCGATTACTAATAGTCCATATGTACCATGATAACTTGTAGATCACCTAATAAGTGAATATATTTCAACAATGACTTTCTTGCAGTAATTTGAGAGGCAACGAGCTTACTGGTTCAATTCCGAATATTCTGAAGGAGAAGTCAGATTTGGAAATGAGGTTTCTCATTGTTTATCTATCATAGTTACTTAGCTTTAAGAGCCTTTTATTTTTATTTTTTTTAAATTGAAGAAAAATCAGTTTGTCAACATTAATTTAATATGATAAAACTGTTTGTGTTTCAACGATGGTAGGACAGATTTTATTTCGTTTTAAGGTAACTGGACAAGATTTATAATTATTTGATCTGACATTATCATCAGTAAAATTGATAAGTCAATGATAATACTAATTAACTTATTATCTGATTTATCTTTCAGTTTGGATAGTAATGCTGATCTTTGCTTGACGGATCCATGCAAAAAGCATAAAGTTCGCTATTCCCCTGATAGCATCTGTTTCTATTTTGATTGTTGTGATCTTGGTTTTGCTTGGAATATGGTTCTTTAGGATCAAAAGACTGAAAGGTTTGCACAATATTCTGTGAACTATCTGCCTTGTTATGTCTTACTCTTTTCATATTGGAATCCATTGATTCCATTTGAAATGGTAAAGAAAACATCTGAATGCCGAGGTCCACACTAACTATTGACAGATCTTTTTGCAGGGGATTTTACTAGGCATGAGTCATCAAAACTAAGAAGCAAAGCATTTTCTTACTCCAACGTTCTTGAGATTACGAATAACTTACAAAACTTGATTGGAGGAGGAGGATTTGGAAAGGTTTATTTAGGTATTCTGAAGAATGATACTCAAGTTGCGGTAAAATTACTTTCTCTATCATCAGTACAAAGTCATAGAGAATTCCGATCAGAGGTTAGTTCAAAATCCAATAGTTTATTAATTTCCTTGTTTTATGACCCCATTATTAGAAACATATTTTGCTCACTATCAATTATCTCATTCTCGTACAGCTGATAAAGTTCCATCTAAGTTATAGGTAGAACTTTTAATGGTTGTTCACCATAGACATTTGGTTTCTTTGATTGGATATTGCGAAGAAACTGGTGCAAGGGCATTAGTTTATGAGTACATGGCTAATGGTGACCTCCGGCAACATCTATCAGGTATGAAATCTTGCTTTGAATTAAAAAGCAAAACTAGGCATTTTCTATATCCACGATACAGCGTTACTTCATTGAGCAATATTTGAAGGTATATGTAAAAGAAATTTCATTATACTGTTTTATGTATAGGTAATAACCAGCATACTTTGAAATGGAAGAATAGGCTTCAAGTTGCACTAGACGCAGCGCGTGGTAAGCGAAACTTATTTTTTCCAATTTGTATGGAAATGATAAGATTTTGTTTTAATTTGATTCTCCTATATAATCTCTCTCTCTCTCTCTCGCACACACACACACAAAAGTCTAGATAAAAATATATAATGCAATTTGTCTGGTTATACAATGGACGAAATTGCAGGATTAGAATATTTGCATGATGGTTGTAAGCCAGCAATAGTACACAGGGATTTGAAGACCACTAACATTTTGCTAGATGAAAATATGGAAGCTAAAATTGCAGATTTTGGATTATCTAGAGCTTTTGCAAATAATATTGATAGTCATATCTCAACTCGTCCAGCTAGGACTATTGGTTACCTTGAACCCGAGTAAGTATTTTATTAATATTTTTCAACTGAGAATTATAGGCGCCAAATTTGTTCTAAGATTTGCTTATGTTCAAGAAAATCAATGCAATACAAAGAGCATTTGTATATTTAGATTGGAAAAACAAACCAAGCTCATTTTGTATTTGTTAGATTGACTACCACCAGGTAGAGTTTAATTTTTGTGAAGAATCTGAATTGATTTGATATACAAATTAAATAAACTAAACTAATTCTTGTGGAATCTTCTGTATCCCTTTGGATGTTAAATTTTCACAGGTTTCAAAGTTCTGGCAACCTTACAAAAGGAAGTGATATTTATAGTTTTGGGATAATTCTGCTAGAGCTAATCACTGGACAACCAGCAGCAAAAAAGCATCCAAGCAATACCGTCAGTCTCCTTCTTCAATGGGTTACCCCTAAAGTTAAAAAGAAGGATATCCAGTACATTGTTGATCCAAGATTCCAAGGAAAATATAATGTCGATTCGGCTTGGAAATTTCTGGAGATAGCCATGTCATGCACTGCACCAACTGCAATTCAAAGGCCAGTCATAAGTCAAGTAGTTTATGAGCTAAGGGAATGTTTGGCAATGGAGATAAGCATCGAAGTGACCAGCAGCGACCACCCCAACAATTCAAGCAGTTCCATGAATACGAGTGCTTTGCAATTTGATTCAGACCTCAGTATATTGTCTGGAAGATAGCTCCTTGTTTACGTTTTTTCTTTTCTTCCTGCTCAATTCAATCAACTGTTACTCACCATAGCTAAACATTATTTAGTCCATGTCATACGTAATTTGTTATATTCACGGCCTATTGGCCCACTTCGAAAACCAGGACATTATTCTCAAACTTATCATTCCATTTAGAACTGAAACTTGTTTTAATTTTCGGGGATGTTTCATAACTCCTCAAAGCACTTAAAATAAGTATTTTCACGCAAACCGAAATAAAATTCTTTTCATATACTTACTTTATATTTTCTAAAATTACTTTTAAAATCATATTTTAGTTCCCATGCAGAAGTAACATTGAAGTCACCATTCAACCTTGAAATAAAGGTATCCTCGGAAATCCTCACACTCAAATTTGAAGACCAACGGATAATCAAGAATAAAACAGATATGATCAAATTCTCTTCTACTTAATACTCCTTCCGATCATGAATATAATAAGCAGATAATTAGTCCATATAATTAATTAAGAAAATCAGTTAAGTTAGTCATTTGTATGATTGCGTGTTGGTTTCCTTAAAATACAAATTTTTAATAATTTTCATTAAAATTACTTTTTGATGGGAACTCCCTTATAATATGTACAATTAATAGGAATAGTTTGAGAAAATGAAATTGACAAGACAAGGTAAATTTATGTTTTTATATTTTGGATCAAAATAATAATTCCTCAATTAACTCTTATATTTCGGATTGGAGAAGTATTTTGACATGACTTTCAATATAAATGTTACTTTTATTGAAGCAATTTTACATTTTATATTAAGGCAAAGTAGCATTCAGCGCCCTAATCTTATTTATAGTGTATCCAATATTCTTATTTTATTTTTCTGATGCATCCAATACATAATGTTATTTAGTTACATCCAGCACTTTAATCTTATTTCTGATAGGGTGCTGATGAACACATTATAAATAAGATCAAGATGCTGTATACACAAGAGAAATTAAATATGATCAAGGTGTTGGATGCTACTTTAAATTTTATTTTATATTTATTTATAATCATGTATATGCTACAAAATTAATATTTATATTAAAAAATATTGCGCCCACTAATTAATTTTTCTGGTTCCCACGGAATATACGTACGGTGGAGGCAAGGGCCCCCAATATGATTCTAACTTTTTCACGGGAAGCCCCCTCTGCCCATAATGGCCTAATGGGTACGCATGACAATCATCCACTTCCAAGATTTGTCTGTGTGTGTGTGTGTTTCTTTTGGGTTCACTCCATTATTGGGATTTGACTGGGCAACGTTTCTTTCATCCAATCTCTGTAATATAAGAAAAAATTGTAATGAGGTTCAACTCAAGAGAATTAAATAAAAAAAGATCTCTCGATGAAATCATCAAATTAATTTGAAGGCTTAATAAGAGACTCATTGCAAGAGATTTCACTTGTTTAATTACTAAATTTTCTTTTTTTTTTAATATGCATTGATAACTACAACAGTGGTCGTTAACACTAATATTTCTTTTTTCATGTCTGGTTTTGTCTTCTAATTAGATCTTGCTTATTATTCATAATAACTAGAATCTTTTCCGGTGCTTCGCACAGGGTGGCACATATTCAAATGTTTGATACTGCTGCAAAGAAATATTCTATTATATTTCTTCGCCTTCTACTACAAAGAAAATTCATCTTTTAATATTTGTTTTTGGAAATATAATTTTTCTTAGATATTAATTGGACAATAAAATATAAGATTGAAGTATCTAACGCTAACAATTTTAGTTTAATAAATATTGATTTCACTTGAAAATTTTGAATCAAACTATTTATAACGTTATTCTCCCTGATAACGGCAATGTTTAGTTCCAAAGGAATTTGGAGATGCCTCCACAATTATTGTGTCATTAAAATAATTAAATTCACAAAGGTAGAGAATAAATGCTCCTCCAGTTATAAGGGTTTTATATTTAGGATCGGAGGAGTATGTTTTTTTTCCTGGCCTTGTTGAGAATAAATAGGTTGAATGTGCGGTTTTTTCTAATAGCGTTCATGCCACCCCTGTACCATCGCTTTCATCAACCAGATATTACGAGATTTTATGGATAAAGTAGAAGATAGATAGATTTGTGGATGCTATCACTCGTATTTTGGTCTAGAGTATAGATCGATGTACTACCTTCTGTCCTAGTCATAAGACCTCATTTGTAGACTACAAATGGAGTCTTATAATTAGAATCGAAGGTAGTGTTATTTGGGCTTGTCCGTGAGTACAATATTTAAGGTTCTAATGAGAACGAGGCCAATTTACAACATGCATTGTGCCTCCTTCAGCATTCCTACTAAGAGCCTACAGCATGTGAACACCATCATCATCATCATCATCGTTATTATTATTATTATTATTAAAGGGAGATATATATATATATATATATATATATATATATAGCACTAACGAATTGATATTACAAGCAAAATTGAATGCGACCCCCCACTCACTAAGGAGATTTCATGTTATTAAATTATAAAGCCATTAGTAGCATGTAAAAGCATGTGTAAACACTTTGCTTGTAATTCTTTCCCGTTTTTTTTAAAGATAGAGACGACCTAAAAATGATATTGGAAAGTTCCAAAAGATCAAACTTTGAGTCGTCAAGTCAACTTGTCTCTTGTGTTTTATCACACGATACCTATTCCCCATTTGCTGAGCACCACGCAAACACGCTAAATTATCAGAGGCTGAGGAGAATTTGATGTTGGCCTGTTTAACTTTAACTGAATATGTTGAAAACTACGTATGTATTGATCCGATGACCATAAGAATAATGTAAAAAGAATTACTCAAAATTATTATTTGTTCCTTGAAATTAATAGTTTGTAAGACAGCTCAGAAAAGCCTAAATGATAAAAACCTGTTTCCAGTAAGGTCAACACTCATTCGGGTAAGCTTATGTAAGACACTGTTCAAACCTTAATACTACTAATGACTTGCCTTTAAAAAAGAAACCAAAATAAATAATTTTCAATGCATATGATGAAAAATAAAATTATAAAATTTTATGGTCTAAATAAAGATTAATAAAATTTATAACATATTAAAAAGTTTGAATATATAGATAATAGAATTACTTTTTTAGTTTTATAAATTATTTTGGAAAATATAAATGTTTAAATCATTATTATGTTAAAAGGGGCCATTTTGGTCTTAACAAAGTTTAAAAGCTAAACTTAACAGTTAACTAATGGTTTGGATGGATGGAAACAAAATCTAAAATATATAAGGGGGTTTGTATAACATAAATTTTAATTTTAATAGAGGTTTATATATGTTTTTAAAATAGAAGAAAAGTTCTATAATTGAAGTAAAATAGAGCGACGGATAATGTATTTCACTCTATTATTATTAAGGCAATATATATAGCACTAATGAATTGATAGTACAAACAAAATGGAATGCCACCCCCACTTATTGAGGAGATTTCATGTCATTAAATTACAAGCTTATTAGTAGCATGTAAATATCTTTTTGTGGTAAAAGCATGTAAACACTTTGCTTGTAATTCTTTCCCCTTTTTTTCTCAGATAAGAGCGCAATAATATCTATGCTACGAAATTAGAAAATAGGAAATAGTTAGTGGAATAGTGATAATTAATGTTTTGAGATGATAATGTAATTCCTAAGCTTGTTTGTGCAAGTTGTTTTGAGGTTCTCATGCAACAGCAGATTGAAAAACCATTTTATGAGAAGCGGAAGAGGAAGAAGATTTACTGGTCCTATGTTGGATTAATTAGTACTATTAAATACTTCTCTCATTCTTAATATAGGACCTAATTTGAGAGTTAATATAGTCTTATATATAATACCTATTTCATATGTTTATCAATTTTTTTCTAAATTAACTCTATTGACATTCTCCTAATAATAATTAGGGAAAATCACAAATAAAGACCGTGGAATATATAAAATTGCGATTTGGGTTCTTGAATTTATATAATTGCTGTCACAGACCCGGTCCCAAATAGGAATTATGAAATGTTAGGTAAAAGACAAAAACGTCCTTCTGCTTTTTTGCAGTCCTTTGTCTACATGCCCTAACTTTATCTTTCTTCACTTTCCAAGTCGTCTCCCTCTTTCTTCACTCTCCGACTCATCTCCCTCTTCTTGATGATGAACCATACAAATCTCTTGAAAAAATTGAGGCTAACACCATTAGAAATCTCCTTCTTGATGAAGATGGTCCATCTTCTAGTGTTTTTGATGACTCGGGTTTCAATAATTTACCAAAACTGGTGATAACCTGGAAGATTTTGATCTATTTAGCAGTGGTCGAGGTATGGAGCTGGAAGGTGATGAACATCTAACTATAGGAAAAGGGGCCAATGGTCCAGATAAAGATCCTAGTTGCTTCGGACGTTTTAAAGGGAAACTTCCTTTTGTTGAACATTCTTCTAGAACAATTTTTGTTAGAAACATTAACAGCAATGTTGAAAATTCTGAGCTAAAGACTCTCTTTGAGGTGCTTCTTTATTGTTTTACATTGATAGATGCTATGCTAGAATTCTTAGAAAGCATTTTAGACTTTGAATCTTATAAAAAGTTAATGCAATTTCTTGTTTGTTTTGACAGTAATATGGTGATGTTCGAATCAAGTTTGATAAGTTGTTGAAAATAACAAATTGACAAGTTCTGATACCCACTTCACGACAAGTTCAGTAATGCGAATAACATGTTTAGGAAGGCAAATAACAACTTCTGATAAGCAATTCATAGAATTCGAGTTTCTGTGTTAAAATGGCAGTATTTTCATATTTCTTTAGCAGATGACAAGTTCTGATACACAATTCATGACAAGTTCAGTAAGGTGAATGACAAGTTTAGTAAAGCGAATGACAACTTTTAATAAGTAATTCATAGAAATTTGAGTATCTATGTTAAAATGACAGGTTCTCATTAGGTTTTCATACTTTTTCTATTAAAATGATTGGATTTCCATATTGATTTATCAAATGACAGGTTCACAATAGAAAATGACAAGTTTCCATAAGATTTTCATATATTTTCATACTTTTTTTGGCTGGAATTATAGTTTGCATATTTCTGACAGCAACAACTTCTGATAAATACGAAATGACAAGTTCAAAATGAAAAATGACAAGTTAAGTATGGCAAATGACAAGTTCCCATAATGTTTTCATACATTTTCATACTTTTTCTGTTGGAATTATAATTTGTACATTTCTGACAGCACCCACTTTTGATAAACACGAAATGACAAGTTCATAACAGAAAATGACAAGTTAAGTATGGCAAATGACAAGTTTCCATAATGTTTTCATACATTTTCATACTTTTTTTACTGGGATTACAATTTGCACATCGCTGATAGCAACCACTTTTGATAAACAGTAAATGACAAGTGTAAATTTCTGACAGTAAATTACAAGTCCATAGTAGCGAATGACAAGTTAAGTATGTAAAATGACAAGTTTCTATTACGTTTTCATACAATTGTAAATTTCTTTGCTGAAATAACAATGTGTAGATTTCTGACAGCAACCACTTCTGATTAACATCTTTCATCATCAATTTCACATTTCATTTCCTCCTAATGTATAAAACTATAGCACCAAAACTCTCATAAGCCCCTCAAGAAGCATCTCATATCAACACCAGCAGCAAATACACTATGATGATCATATCCACTCACAAGTGCATCCTCAACCATGAAATCCCAAATGTAAATTGTCATATCATATGAACAAGAAACCATCAAATTCTACATATAAGGTGGGAACTTTATTCGTTTAGCACTGTATTTAGGGCTCGTTTGTTCCTCACATCCCACACCTTGATCGATTTATCCACCGAAATACAATCATCATACTTGATTTCAAAATTTAGAGCTTGTTTGCAATTATCAGAAGTAGGTGCTGTCAGAAATGTGCAAATTGTAATTCCAGCAGAAAAAGTATGAAAATGTATGAAAACATTATGGAAACTTGTCATTTGCCATACTTAACTTGTCATTTTTCATTGTGAACTTGTCATTTTGTGTTTATCAGAAGTAGTTGCTATCAGAAATGTACAAACTGTAATTCCAGGAAAAAAAAAGTATGAAAAGGTATGAAAATCTTATGGAAACTTGTCATTTTCTATTGTGAACCTGTCATTTGATAAATCAATGTAGAAATCTAGTCATTTTAATAGAAAAAGTATGAAAACCTAATGGGAACCTGTCATTTTAACAGAGAAACTCAAATTTCTATGAATTGCTTATCAGAAGTTGTCATTCACCTTACTAAACTTGTCATTCACCTTACTAAACTTGTCATGAATTGTGTATCAGAACTTGTCATTGCTAAAGAAATATGAAAATGCTGTTATTTTAACACAGAAACTCAAATTTCTATTAATTGCTTATCAAAAGTTGTTATTTGCCTTCCTAAACTTGTTATTTGCATTACTGAACTTGTCGTGAATTGAACATCAGAACTTGTCAACTTGTTATTTTCAACAACTTATCAAACTTGTTATTTTCAATTATGAACATAAGCTGAAAATCAAAATAGAAATGAAGAATAAAAATCCAGATTTGTTGGGCGTTGTCTCAGCACCAAGCAATCATCGCACACATTGCAAGCAAACATTATAAACATTGTAAATGACTGTCACTCTTCCTCAAACTCCTCGACTCTCCTCTCTTTCCACAGCAACAGAGAGAATGATGGAGGAGGCTTCATTGTCAACGAAAGAGCAACTAAGTAAGATAAGAAGAAAGTGACGGGGGATGACAATGAAGAGAGGACTACCGAAGGAGAATGTGAGTTCCATATACTTGGTGAAGGAGTGAGGAGAGGGAAGGAAACTTGGAGAAGAAAGAGAGAACGAAGAGAGAGAGGAAAAGGAGGAGGAAAGGTCGGGAAGAAGATCTGGAGAGGAAGAAAGAGAAGAAAAAGAAGGGCATTTTGGACATTCTACCATCATTTTATATTTGCAATTTGGGACCGGGTCCTTTGAAGCTATTTTCCAAATTCAGGGTCCCTAATAGCTATTTTATATATTGGAGGGTCTTTATTTGCAATTTTCCCTAATAATTAAGTAGGAGAGGTAGGGAAGGAATTAAGAAAGATTATTAAGGTATTTTAGGAAAAAAAACATCATATTAATTAATTTAACTAATATTCTTAATATATTCAAATTAATTAATTAGGTCCTATATTAAGTACCAGAAGAGTATCTTGAAAGATGAAACTAATGGAGCTTAGTGTCTCCTCAATAAGATCGATATATATCTCCCATATTTAGTGATAAGTTGGAGAAGAAAGCGACAGTAATCGTCAACTTCATAGCGATAAAGACAACTCAAAAATGACATCGGAAAGTGCCAAAAGATCAAACTTTGAGTCGTCAAGTCAATCTGTCTCGTGTGTTTTATCACACGATACCTATTCACCATTTGCTGAGCACCACGCAAACACGCTAAATTATCAGAGGCTGGCAAGAATTTAAGGTTGGCCTGTTTAACTTTAACTGAATATGTTGAAAACTATGTATGTACTAATCTCGTGACCATGAGAATAATATATAGTCATCAGCAACTTAAGCTCACAGACGCCCATGGCCAAACAAAAGACCACAGGCCCCTAGGATTATTCTCGCAACAGGGTGTCAAACAAATATATATATATATATATATATATATATCTATGAAACTTGATCCATAGGATTCTCACATGAATCAAACTGGACCAAGAAAAAGCCCAATTTCGAAGTCGTTCCCCATAAGGATCGAGGATACAGACAGATTATATAGACTGGAGAAAATAATACGAGTCCACTGGATCGAAATATAGGGTGGAATAGTTTCATCGTCTCAGTTACGCCATTGAAGCCGGCCGGCGAATATTCAAGGCTTAATGCATGCATGTAGTCTCACTGGAAAATTGCAGAAAACAACAAATATCAAAAGCGGAAAGCCGGGGCAGTCAATTATATATGAAGGACCACTGTTTGTGGTGATTGAACAATTCTACCTTGGACCAAGTTGACCCTGCATGTGCATGGCCACCATAATAATTAACCAAAGCAAGTCAGGTACCATTATTATTATAATTATCTCTAAATGCCACTACTATTTAGGCCTGTATTTAATTTTACGTTAGAAGCTGTCAAATTAAAATTATAATTTCGGTGGAAATAGGTAATTGTAATCTGCTAAATATCTAAATGATGATTTTGATGGTTTCAAAAATGATACTAAACAAAATGCACACACAACTAGAGTTGATAACACGGGTTGCGGGTTGGCCCATGACGAGTTAAAGTTAGGTAGTGTGGGTAAAAGATGCCCGTGTGATAGCCGTCCGGCTTTTAGCCAACTCTAGCTTGTCATGGGGATTGACAAGTTGACCTGTCAATTTGTCAACTATTATTTACTTTTTAGAAAAAAAATCAATTTTTTCTTTATAAAATATAAACAAAATATAATGATATAGGTATTTTTTTTAATTTTTTTAGATATGATATAAAATATAATAACATAATTATAATAATTAATAAAATTAAAAAATAAAAAATTGATACAGGTTAACCTGTGGATTGGTGGGTTATGGGTTTGGCGTTGAAAATACTCATTTGTTGGATTGATTTTTAGCCAAAACTAACTTATCATTTTTTGGTTGGTTGGCAAGGTGAACTCATATTACCAGCTCTACACACAATCACGTAATTTCACACAAGTAAATGTAAAATGATGAAATTTCCATGAGTCAAGTCAATTTGTTATGCTAGGAGGAATGGAAACGGAAAACACACCAAGAAAAGATATTCTTTTATTTAAATAATTTTTATCATTATTTTGTTGTAGTATTATTATTTAGATTTGTTCTTGATAATTAGGATCAACCCCTGACGTTACTATGTAGAAGAAGCTGATAAGTGATAAGCATTCAACGTTTTTTTTTTTTTAAATCGAAGTTTCACTAGAAACGTATATACAAAACTATAAATAAAGATTATTTACCAGGTATATTGAACGATGTTATATATAAGAATATTTTAAATTAATTTATTATTTTTGGGGTGAAAATACTTTTGCAATTAATATCAATATAGAAGCATTGCATCGTAATTTTTATCAATTACCAATGAGCTAGTCAATTCCAAATACCGTAGGCAAAACGCTACTCCTACTTATATAAACACACAACTCATCACACCCCACTTTACTGAAGTACTCAAACAGCTTCTCATGCTTCTTGGCTTGAATTTGAGACCTCGAGCTTCAGGCAAGTTCATATCTACTTTACTATTAATTACTCTTTTATTTATGCATTATTGCGTTACGATAATATGAGCTAGAGATAGCGTCTTCATATATAGAATTCTACACAGATCACATGGATCGGAGACCACAGTGGATTTTATGGGTTGCCTTGATCCAACTTTTCCTGAATCTTAGCGACGCAATGCTCAGTGGAAGGAAAATCAGTGGCACTACTAGCAACACTCATTCGGGTAAGTTTATGTAACGCACTGTTCAAACCTTAATACTACTAATGACTTATTGCCTTTATCAAAACCTATGTTTCCCTGCTTAATTAACAAGGTTCCCTTCAACGCAAAACTAACCTACCATATTATACACAGATTTCATAAGCATTGACTGTGGAGCAAACGACGAATACACTGACCGTCAAACTGGGATTTCATATCAGACAGACGCAGGTTTTGTAGAGACAGGGTCTAATACTATGGTGGCACCTGATGAGAGATATGACGTATTTCATCCTTATTTTGGGAGACAACTGCAGACACTAAGAAGTTTCCCTGAAGGAAGAAGGAATTGCTACACTCTGAAACCAAAACAAGGCAAAAACCAAAGTTACCTCATCCGAGCTTTCTTCGCATATGGAAATTATGATGGCAAAAATCAAACTCCCTGTTTCGACTTATACCTGGGTGTCAATTATTGGACAAATGCTTGTCCGATAATTAAAAATTCTTATTTTACGGAGATCATCCACACTCCCACGACTGACACCATCCATGTTTGCCTTGTCAAGTCAGGCAAAGGAATGCCTTTCATTTCTACATTGGAACTACGACCTCTCAACAATTCTATTTATACAACTCCCTCCCCTTCTCAATCACTTTTAGTTCTTGAAGCGAGAGTTAATGTTGGCTACGTTAGTAATAATACATCACTATACATCAGGTGACTCTAATTTTTAGGGTTTGCTTGATTCTATTATCTTTTTTTTTTTATGTTCTTCAAACAATTCTGCAGGCAAGCTTTTTTTTTTTTAGAACAAGTTTTGAAAACAAAAAATTGCCAAAAAAAAAGTTTGAATAATTTGTTTAAAGAACATTTACGAGCGAAATAAAAGATAAAAGAATAATTTATTGTAAACACAATTGTTCTTAATGTAACATGATATTTCCCCACTATTTTATAATGTTGCAGAACAGAAGGTAAGGAGGCATCACAATGATGTTATGTTTTTTACTTTTTGTTCAAAGGACAACTTTTAATTTTGTTTTGTTTTCCCGAAGTCAAAACGCGTTTTCAGACAATTTCCTTTTTAAATTTTCAGATCGAAAAGTTATTCTGAAAAAACAACAAATCAAACCAGCACATATATTCTATAACATGTTGTGTTTTCACATTTTCATTGTCCAGCTCTTATGAGTTTTTATGTTCTGCTTTTACATGGGAGCAATTCTGATATTCAATTATGTAATAATGTGAACATGTAGGTACATGGATGACATCTATGATCGTATGTGGGGCGGGGACAACAAGTTGAACTTGACAGATTGGCATGTGTTCAATAAATCTGTGGATATTGATCCCCAGAGAACAATTGATCCTTACAGATTACCAGCAGGAGTTCTACTATCTGCAGCCAAATCATCGAATCGCTCCTCTCCTTTAAACTTTGACTGTGGTTCTTCTGGGGGCGGTCTATTTCAATATTCTTTCACATATTTCGTCTATTTTCATTTTGTTGAAATTGAGAAGCTTCCCCTTGGGCAGAAAAGAGTGATCGATATTACTGTTAACGATGAAAAATTCCTCCCAAAGCCCATAACTCTTGAATACCTGAAGCCGCAGACCGTTTCTGCAGCTACAAATCAAAGTTGTCTTCGTTTCAGCATAAGTGCAACATCAGAATCTGCTGCGCCTCCAATCCTCAATGCATTCGAGGTCTATCAATTAAAATCACCTCTAACTTTACCAACAGACCAAAGAGACGGTATATCAGATCAGTTTTCCTTGTTTGAATTGTTTCCTGCTATATCTTATATCATTTCAGTGTGTGCACGTTTTGGCTTCAACTTCTGAGAACATATTTATTATCTGTAAAAATAGTGGATGCCATCTGGGACATCAAAATCGCATACAAAATCTCTAAATTGGATTGGCAAGCTGACCCATGTATTCCCAATTACGCATGGGAGGGACTTATGTGCAGTTCTGGCACCAGCCACTCTTACGCAAGGATCACCTCATTGTAAGTATTTCACTTCTTGAATTAAAATCACAAGGTTTGATTCCCAAAGTCATAAGGTTTGATCAGTTCCACTTCTGGCTTCAAAAGATTTGATAAATGTAAACTTGAGTAGATGGGGTCAATTTAATTTGATCTTATTCTTGTCCTTTTTTCCCTTTTTGATGAAAGATTTGTTAATTTATATTGCCAAGTATACTTTTAGTCGTTTTGTAAAGATTTAGTAGTCCTGTCTCAATTATTCATTTTATTTTTAAAATAATTTCAAATTAAAATTAGTAAACATACTTTATTGACTTAGTCAAATGTTGACCAAGTAAGCATCATGTTTCCTAACTTTAAGTCCAACATGTTGGTAAGAACCTAACTCTGCTCTTTGTTTCTTAACTTAGGTTACGTAGCATTTATGTGCTCTGTTTTGTGACCTGTCTATCCTTAGATGGAATCTCTTGGGCATGTCTCAACCTAATAATTAATGTTCTCCGATATTTCCAACAACATTAGCCATTAATAAGAAAGAAGCTATACTTGAGAAAATTTTATAATCACCCTATCTTAGTATGTTTTGACCACATGTTCGAATTATTCCAAGCAGAAACTTGAGCACGAGCAAGTTAACAGGACACATAAGTATTTCATTCTCAGAACTTACGGAGTTAGAGTCCCTGTAAGTATATAGTGCTTAATTATGACCACATCTTCAGTCTAAGAATTTCACCATGTAAAATGATGTTTTTGCTGTTTCAGGGATTTGTCAGATAATAACTTATCAGGAACAATACCAGAATTTCTAGCTAAATTGCCGAAGTTGAAAGTCCTGTAAGTTGTTGGTGTAGGATTTTCGATTACTAATAGTCCATATGTACCATGATAACTTGTAGATCACCTAATAAGTGAATATATTTCAACAATGACTTTCTTGCAGTAATTTGAGAGGCAACGAGCTTACTGGTTCAATTCCGAATATTCTGAAGGAGAAGTCAGATTTGGAAATGAGGTTTCTCATTGTTTATCTATCATAGTTACTTAGCTTTAAGAGCCTTTTATTTATTTATTTTTAAATTGAAGAAAAATCAGTTGGTCAACATTAATTTAATATGATAAAACTGTTTGTGTTTCAACGATGGTAGGACAGATTTTATTTCGTTTTAAGGTAACTGGACACGATTTATAATTATTTGATCTGACATGATCATCAGTAAAATTGACAAGTCTATGATAATACTAATTAACTTATTATTTGATTATCTTTCAGTTTGGATGGTAACCCTGATCTTTGCTTGACGGCTCGATGCAAAAAACATAAGTTCGCTATTCCCCTGATACCCTCTGTCTCTGCTTTGATCGTTGTAATCTTGGTTTTGCTTGGAATATGGATCTTTAGGATAAGAAGACTGAAAGGTTTGCACAAGATTATGTGAACTCTCTTTCATGTTGGAATCCACTAATTCCATTTGATATGCTAAAGAAAACATCTGAATGCCAAGGTCCACATTTCTAACACTATTGATATATCTTTTTGCAGGGAATTTTACTAGGCATGAATCATCAAAATTAAGAAGTAAAGCATTTTCTTACTCTAACGTTCTTGAGATCACTAATAACTCACAGAACTTAATTGGAGAAGGAGGATTTGGAAAGGTTTATTTAGGCACTCTTAAGAATGATACTCAAGTTGCAGTAAAATTACTTTCTCAATCATCAGTGCAAGGTCATAGAGAATTTCGATCAGAGGTTAGTTCAAATTATATTCCTGTTTTATGACACAATTGTTAGAAAAATATTTTGTTCACTATCATCTGATTCACATAGAGTTGATAAAGTTACATCTAAGTTATAGGTAGAACTCTTGATGGTTGTTCATCATAGACACTTGGTCTCTCTGATTGGGTATTGCAAAGAAACTGGTGCAAGGGCATTAATTTATGAGTATATGGCTAATGGTGACCTCCGTCAACACTTGTCAGGTATGAAATCTTGCTTCAAATTAAAAAGCAAGACTAGATATTTTCTATGCATAACACGGTATTAATTGATTGAGCAACATTTGAAGGTATATATAGAAGAAATCTTATTATACTATTTTATATATAGGTAACAACAGGCATGCTTTGAAATGGAAGAACAGGCTTCAAATTGCACTAGATGCAGCACGTGGTAAGCAAGACTATCCATACATTAACCTTTTTGAGTTACATGATTGAATTTTCAATTCGTATATATGGAAATTATAAAGTTTTGTTTTGATCTAATTCTGCCACACATAATTTGTTTGGTTATGCAATGAATGAAATTGCAGGATTAGAATATTTGCATGATGGTTGTAAGCCAGCAATAGTACATAGAGACTTGAAGACTACTAACATTTTGTTAGATGAAAATATGGAAGCTAAGATTGCTGATTTTGGATTGTCTAGAGCATTTGCAAATGATATCGATAGCCATGTCTCAACTCGTCCAGCTGGGACAATTGGTTATCTTGATCCCGAGTAAGCACTTCATTAATATATATATATATATATATATATATATATATTCTTCAGCTAAGAATCCCATCAAATTAGTTTTAAGGTTTGCGTGCGTTCAAGAAAATCAAGGCAATACAGAGAGAATTTGTAAAGAACATTATTTGGATTGGAAGACTAATCAGGCTCATTTTGTTTTTGATGTACAAATAAACTAAACTAATTCTGTTGAAATCTTCTGCTTCCATAATGTGGATGTTAAATTTTTACAGGTTTCAAAGTTCTGGCAACCTTACAAAAGGAAGTGATATTTATAGTTTTGGAATAATTCTGCTAGAGCTAATCACTGGACAACCAGCAGCGAAAAGGCAACCAAACAATACCTTCACTTTCCTGCTTCAATGGGTTACCCCTAAAGTTAAAAACGAGAATATCAAGTCCATTATTGACTCAAGGGTCCAAGGAAAATATAGTGTTGATTCGGCTGGGAAATTCCTACAGGTAGCCATGTCATGCACTGCACCAACTGCAAGTCAAAGGCCTGATATAAGTCAAGTAGTTTATGAACTAAGGGGATGTTTGGAATTGGAGATGAGCAAGGAAGTGACCAGCGACCAACCCACCAATTCAAGCAGTTCCATGAGTACGAGTGCTTTGCAATTTGATTCAGACTTCAGTATATTGTCTGGAAGATAGATACTTGTTTACCTTTTAAATTTTATCTTCCCAATGTGATGGAATATGCCAAACACTACCGCGAAAAGGATTGAATAAATTGTTTTCTGCATTTAGGCGTCTTATGTGTTGAAAAATATAGGTCTTAATTGGTTGCATGGATATGCACGTAGATGGAATGTATATAAATGTATTTGGTGAGAATGGTGGGAGTCTATACGAAAACTTGTGCCATTAATTCGAGTACCCAATAAAGGGGAGAGTGTGTGTTTGTGTAAATATAGACTGCTGACTGCTGAATAAGGAAAATAAGTAAATAGTAGGAAGAAAAGCATCATAAAGTTATTCTAATTTAGTCTTTTCAACTACTTTTAGTCCCTTGACAACGGTACCTTGGACATTGTCACATTGAGTCTTTTCCAATTTATATCAAATTTTCTTTGTTAATCTCTTATTTTCCCTGCTCTCTCCTATGTAAAAGGTATATTTGAGGGGGGAAAAGTTAGTCTCTCTATTCTTTAATAAAAATCAATTAGTTGAATCACGTTGGTAAAAGAGTTGGTTAAAATTAGCCAGATGAGTTAGTAGTGTAATTTTATTATTTTGATTTGATAATTGAATTAACCTCTTAACTATTTTTTTGAAAGACAATTCTGCAGTGATTAATCTTATTAAGTCAAACATATCAGTAAAAAAAATTAAAAATCTGATAAGAAACAAACAGTCGACTCGAAGCAAGTTTTTACACTCGAAAGATGAGACTTAATAATTAAATTATAAATAAACTTATCTAGCATATGGGCCTGCTGTTGATTCAATACCCAGTGAGTTCAGAGAGCCCATATCCAATGAATTGTTGGGATTTCTTCTGCTGCTCTCTGTCTCTGATCTTTCACGAGTATGGGTCTGTTGTTGGTTCAAGTTTAAACAGATCTTCAGCTCACTTAATACTTCACTAATGTCAGGCCTTTGGATCGCTTTAGGTGGAACGCAGCCCATAGCAGTCTCTATAAATTTCCAAGCTGAACTTGTATTATATTCTCCTTGTAACCTGGGATCAACTATAGATTTAATATCTCCATTCTTAAGTTTACGATTAACCCAATGAAGCAAGTGACTCTTGTTTTCAAGTGATGCCTCTTCTTTTATAGGACGTTGCCCTGTGATCAGCTCCAGCAAAATTACCCCAAAACTGTAGACATCACTCTTTTTGTTCAACTTTCCAGTTCTTTGAAATCTACAGATAAAATAAGGGGTCAAAAGTTCAATCCTCGTTATCTCATTCTTAACCATTATATGAAATTTACTTAGAGGATAGGTGACTAGATTTTATCTGCAATTGACTATCATGATATTAAATTTAATGAAACTTTGAAACTATGCTACTTACTCGGGATCAAGATAGCCAAATGTGCCTGCTGGTATGGTTGATATATGAGCGTCATTTTCATTTATGAAAGGTCTACAGAGTCCAAAATCAGAAATCTTGCCTTGCATCTTTTTATTCAACAAAATATTGGAAGTCTTCAAGTCTCTATGAACTACTGGTGGCCTAATACCATTATGCGAATAGTCCAATCCTGATTTCCATTAAGCACCACACACACCTTTATCTGATTAGAGATGATTGATGAGAAGACAGGGAAAATATAGAAGCCATGAAGAAGAGTGAGGATTCACATACCAAGTGCAACATCCACAGCAATTTGAAGTCTTTCTGACCACTTCAAGACATTTGGATTTCTACCTGCTGAGTTCAGAAAACAAAGCATACATTACTATCAAACCAAGTCTTCAGGGAAAGCTTCCATCTCTTACAATATCACACTTCCAAACCAGAACATTTTTCTTGAGTTCATTCAAAATAAAGAAAGAAAGCATCTTTATCAACATAAATAATTTTCAAGCCACGTAATCTGATGCATTTCTCTTATCAAGAAAGCCCAAACAAAGGTTTTTGTCTTTAATCACTAAATAACTAACCTGACAATAGCCCTTGCAGATTCCCCTGGTCCATATATTCATAGATCAATGCTTTCACGTCACCTTCGTCACAATACCCCACAAAAGAAACCAGGTTTTTATGGTGAACGATAGTCAACAAATTTACCTGCAGTTGGAAGTTAACTTTATGCATTTAGGGAAAACGTTGAAAATTCTCAAGCGTTTGCCCGATAGACAAAAATACGAAGGAAAGGGAAAATCTGATAGAATGAACTCCTTTTAAGGTTTGTGATCGTCACGTCAAACCTCCGAGTGAAACTCCCTATCCCCTTGCCTTGA